GCGGGGCTGCGCAACTGGATAATCACTGGACTGGGAATCTCCACGCAAAGATTCACGATTGCACACTGGGTGATCACCAAGCGGCTCCAACGTCCTTCTTGCGTACATGCACTCTGGCACTAGTGCGTCCTCCGCTCTTGTTTTGTAACTCGAATTGGACACTTCTGCCGCGACATTCCGGATTGCAATTGAATCACTGATGCCAGCGCCTGCTTGGCAATCTGGCAATGAGGAGCCAAGTCTGTCAGGTGCAGCAGTGAATAGATCAAACACGCTCCTGGCAAAATCTTGCGCGCTCTTGTTAAAATGCGGCGTAGAAACCCACTGCACCAGAAGTGGCCCTGATCCGAGTCCATTCTTGACGCGCAAGAGAACCTTCTGACCCCAGAATCCTTCTGGCCCGCCATAGCTCACAAGCCATTCATCTGCCCAGTAGTAGCCAGCAAAGCCTCGGCCAGACCATTCTATCCCATTTGCAGCGAAATCTGTTACTGGGGCATTGTTCAGGAAACTCGGAATCGCGGCGGGAAATCTGTGGCGCAATTGATCCATAACTATTTCTTGCACTCCGCGAATCCGCCGACCACGCTTGGGATCACCGAGCGTGTGAAATCACTTCCTCGACATAGCCCGCCCCCTGGCGGGCAACAAATAAAAAGTTTGAGTGGGGCGAGCACAGAGGAGGCTTCGAGCTCCATCTTTCCCTCAAGACGGCTCCGAGGTGGCAGGCGAGAGCTCTAGGAGGCCGACAGGACCGCTCTGAGTACTCCAGACAGCGCAGAAGGCTCCAAGAAGCCTCCAACAACACATGAAATGCCTCCAGAGACAGCCTAAAAAAGGTACACCAGAGGCCCCCAACGACAACAAATGGACGCACAATGTTACTTGATTTCGAACGGCCTCCACCTGGCCTCCAGGGCGTCCTGGAGGTTCCCAGGGGCCTCCCCAGGAACATCCAGCGGCGCGCATCGTGACGACGACGACGGCGACGATGGCGGCGTCGGCAACGGCAACGGCGACGACGACCGACAACGTCCCCAAAGGCCTCCAGCCCGCACTGTACACGAGCACTAGCCCACGAGCAATGCAACAGGTCCGCGAGCACCTGTGCGCACCACAACACGCCTGTGAGCACCACAGAATGCCTGTCGAGGGGGCTCAACTCCCCACACACAAACGCGTATTATCATCACCGATACGAAGGGGGGAGGGGCAGGGGCGGGTAATGAGCGCTACGCGCAAGAGGGAAACTAAACACTTCTGTAGACTCCCCAAGATGCACCCGAGAAGGCCCCAAGATGGGCCCAAGATATGAAGTCGAAGAAGCGCTGGGGCGCCCCCGCCCTCAATGCGCAATACGCCCCTAAAAAACCCAAGGTGTCCCCCCCAAAAAACCCAAAGGGCTCCAAGCGGCTTCCAAGAGTCCCCATAGCAGACCCTAAGAGGCCGCCAGAAGGCCCCCCCTTGCTGCCATATAATAATCGCAACTCCAAAACGTTACGCGTTCCAGACGTGACCCCCGCGAAGCGAGAAGGATCGACAGAAATCCAACGGTACGGGCGGCTTCACCAAGAAGAAACATGTCCGCGGCAATCGAACAAAGACCGATCCCTGCCCGCAAATTGATCTCATCCATTACGTGCGGGCGGCACGTTGGGGCGTGTTAGACTGCTTGTCTTTTGTCTGGCAGGGTTCCTGTAGTATTTCCGGGGCACCACCCCCATGGAGCATAAACATGATAATGCTTAGCGACATTGGTGTCTTGCACTTCAGGGGGAGACAGCGAACATCAAAACGAGACGTTATTTGTTAACGCTGCGATGTAACGCCGAAATGACGACCAGGGAAACCGCTTCATTCTCGCCCTCATCCTCGCCCTCGTGGTCCAAATCGTGCTCGATATGCTCGTTTTCATCCTCGTCCTCCGCTTGGTTTTTCTAACCCCCACCACCCATCATCGTTTGCCTCAACCTCCTCCCTCCGGGCTCATCGACAGTATGGCGTGTATACGGTACGCTTCCAAATACTCGGGCCTTGCCAAATTCAAATGATCATCCAACGCATTCTTGGTCGCAATCCGCATACCACATACCCCTTCATTATATGGATGATGACGGAGGCGGTCATGGTGGTGACCAGAAACAAAACGAAGGAATGCATAACGATGAGTATGAGGAGGATGTGTAACATCAGGAGGGAGGAGTGGAAGACGAAGATAATACCGAAGAGGAAGGGAGGCAGGCGGCTGTGCGAGAGAAGGCGTGGGCAAACAAGGCAAACATACGAAGAGAGAAACCGCGAGGGATATCGGGAGAGGAAGGATGATGACGACGAGGATCAGGAGATTTATGACGCTGAGGAAGGCGATGATGAAAAGGAGACGATTGAGGATAATGATGCGTTGAATAGATTTAAGACGCATACCATTTGACACCGCGCGCTGAACTGGCGTTAGCCTGAAATTCGACCTCTTTGCTGTTGCGCTGCTGCACTGGAACGGAAGCATGGTTTGCCGTAGGCAACTGGATAAACTTGCGACGAAACACTCTGGGAACAAGCAGGCAATGTCTCAGACTGATAATACGTCCGATTCGAAATGCCAAGTGGATCGAACAAATACCGACGAGCTGCATCGGGGAAGCTCCGGCCTGTTGCAACTTCGACAGCACGCTCTACGATTGCCCACTGCATGTTGGAATATTGGAATCGGGAGCCCAGAACAAATGCGGGGTCTACCTTGCGAAGTGCCTCTTCACATATTCTGGACGCTGGCTTGATTCTTTTTTTCACCCAGTCAGGCGTCCAGTGCCAGGAGGGTAAGCCACCCACGCCTGCCATGACATGCCGCAAGGTCAATCGCTGCAATACTGAATGGTTCTCCACTTTCTGTAATTGAAGAAACTCAACAATTGGCTCATCGAGCCCTGGGAGTTTGCCGATTTCCACGAGTCGTAACACAAGGAGGGCCGTGGCAAACTTCCCAGCACAACGCATCCACATGCTTCTGTTCGCAACTTCTGGGCCAACTGAGAACCTCTGCGTCTGGTGTGATGCGTCGCTTTGGCTCAACAGAACTAAACTCGGACCAGGGTCTGACCCACGCTCAGCAAAAACACACCTACCATGTGCTGATGGCCAAAATGCTTTTGGCAACAGTTTCTCTGCCAGTGGGCTGCTCAGGCTGGCAGCTGGCCAAGCTGGCGAAATTTCCTTCTCCCTAACTGACAATTTTCTCAATGTCTTCAAAACCAACTCAATCCTCGAAGTATGAATAGCTGCAACACCAAATTCAACACAATATTGCAAATCGCTTTGCCAAGAAGGCAGGTCTTGGTAAAGTGCTGAATGACTTGCATGAACCTCTCCGTCGAGCTCATGAACGGCCAAGTCACAAATTATGTGAACCTGTCCAACAAACTTGAAAAAACGAGAACTAGCTGCCAATTCAGAAGGTGTCAAGAATCCGCCAGTCCCTTCTTAGGGGCAGAAAACTAAACTCATTAGTTGGCTTATTACTGCTGTCGGCTGCGCGTCCCCACGCCTGCAGAGACTTGGACCGAATTTTTCGCACATGCCACAGGTTAGGGTGCGCAGGCCAAGGCTCGCTTGCGAAGGCTCTCAATGGCATTGCCGCACATGCCGCAAATGCCATGCGCGCACATCATCCGAACAACAATTGACCAAATACCGAAAAACATGATCGACCCACGAAACCGGAAAAGAATACAGGAATGTAATGCGTGGCAACGTTTTCCAAGACACCTGATTGGGTAACGGGCAAATTCAATGCTGAGTGAATCGATCTTGATGTACCCTGCCGAAGGCTGTGCTGTGCTGCACCGTGCTGAATAGCGATGTGCCATGCCGCGAATGTGCTCTATAACGTCGTGGATCGAGTCCTCCTTTGCATCCGAGTCCTGACCGAACCGATATGGATCGTAAGCTCGAGCTGCCTGAACACATAGTAGCCGCCCAAGAGCTAATTGACAGGGGGACTGCCAGGAGGACGCGCCGCGAAACATCCCAAGGGACGCGCCAAGCGACGTGCCAAGGGACGTGCCATGGGGTCGCACCGCGGGACGTGCCAAGGGGACGCGCTACGGAACGTGCCAATGGATGTGCCACGGGATGTACCAGGGGACACGCCACGCGACGTGCCAGGGGGACCCGCCAAGGGACGCCCCACGGAACGTGCCAAAGAACGTGCCAGGTTGCAATGCTGAGTGTATCGATCTTGATGTACAGTGCCGAAATGTTGCTGTGCTGCGCCATGCTGGATTGCGATGTGCCATGCCGCGATTGTGCTCTATAGCGTCGTGGATCTAGTCCTCCTTTGCATCCGAGCCCTGACCGAACTGATCTGGATCGTAAGCTCGAGCTGCCTGAACACATAGTAGCTGCCCAAGAGCTAATTGACAAGGGGACATGCCAAAAGGACGCGCCGCGAAACGTCTCAAAGGAGGCGCCAAGCGACGTGCCAGGGGACGTGCCATGGGGACGAATCGCAGGACGTGCCAAGGGGACGCGCTACGGAACGTGCTGGGGACAAGCGTTTCGCTCGAGACATCCTCTCAAAATCCTCATGCTAGACATCCGGCTGAGCGATCTGGACACGTGAACACAAGCGTGTCGCTCATCACATCCTTAACACATTCTCATGCTAGACATCCGCCTGGGCGAACTGGACACGTGAAAACAAGTGGTTCGCTCGAGACATCCTCAACACATCTTCATGTGAGACGTCCGCCTGGGTGACCTGGGCACGTGAAAACAAGCGTTCGCTCGAGACGTGTTCAACACCTCCTCATTCTAGACATCCGCATGGGCGACCTGGGCACGCGAAAGCAAGCGTCTCGCTCGAGACATCCTCAACACACCCTCATGTTAGACATCCGCCTGGGCGACCTGGACACGTGAAAACAAGTGGTTCTCTCGAGACATTCTCAACACATCCTCATGCTAGACATCCGCCTGGGCAACCTGGACACGTGCAAATAAGCATCTCGATCGAGACTTCCTCAACACGTCCTCATGCTAGACATCCGCCTGGGCGACGAGGACGCGTGAAACCAAGAGTCTCGCTCGAGACATCCTCAACGGATCCTGGCGCTAGACCTCTGCCTGGGCAACCTGGAGGCGTGAAACCAAGCGTCTCGCTCGAGACATCCTCAAGACCTGGGCACGTGAAAAGAAGCATTTCACTTGAGAGCTCCTCTAAATTCTGGTCCCCAGGAGGACAATCTATGACACAAAACAAGCGTGTCGCTCGAGACATCCTCAAGAAATTCTGGAAAACAAGCATTTCGCTCGAGACATCCTCAATAATATAATTTGCTGGCCCGGCCCTACGCGACCTCGTTATTTATCGCAAAATAATTTCGCCGGCCCTACAGCAGTCAGACCGGGGGTAAACACACTAAAAGGAAACCCTGGGCCGTGGCTTTGACTGTTGTGAAGGGCGGGTGCCCCCTGGATACGTACCCCTGGATGGGGCCAATCTATAGGCATTACGTAATCCATGCCCCTGACCAAAACGTGTCCCGCACCCTGTGATTTATCGATCGCGATTTCAAAAACCAGCGTTTCGCTAGGGACATCCTCACATTTTAATTCGCCGGCCCACCTCGACCTCGATATTTATCGCAAACGAAATTTGTCGGCCCACCTCAAGTCAAACCTGGAGGTGAACCAACTAAAAGAGAACCCTGGGCTTATGCCCTTTTCGGGAAAAACACGCCACACGTGTGGAATATGTCCCGCAATAAAGCCATATTGTATCACGAAGCAAAGTTATGATAATACCTCCATCAAAACACGCAGCGTGAGACCGCAGTAAAACTTGGGGAGCCCCGTCTGGAAAATCGGTTTTGGTTTCGAAGCGTGTCGTGCGTGCGGGCAAAGAGAAGCAACGCGAACGTGACGATGCGTTGGCCGCAGCTAGGACCACGTCGGACAAAATGTCTCACTCTCGCGTCACAGAGTGGGGCGCAAAAGTTGTTCCGCGGTTGTCCCGTGGATACTGTTCTATGAGTTTTCCAATGGGTTGTCCTGTGGTTGTCCCGTGCGTTGTCTGGCGGTTTGCCTGGATGGTTAACCCGTGGTCATCCCGTGGGTTGTCCCGCTGTTGTTCCGCGGCTTTCCTGTGAAACGTGCAAGTCAGCACCTCCTGGAACAGCCCTCGGGTCATTTCAAATTTGGGTGCAATTGTAGAGCTTGCATGCCGACGCACGTTTCGATTGCACCAGTTGCATTTCGAAGTTAACTTATATGGTAATTGATTGATAATTGCGATCTGCACTTCGGCTTGGAATTGGTTTCGCATTTGATTCAGTTCGCAAGTAAACTCCCAGCTGGTCCACATGTCGACTCAAATATCGATGTGCATGCTTGATGTGCGTGTCGACTTGATGTTTGATCTGGATTTCGATTGTAATCGGATTTGCACCCACATGGTCGGTTACTTTTGCGAAGGTAGCTAAGACAGATAATCCACAAATAGAGAGCATGGAATTGTATGGCGCAAACAGCACAGAGTGGAAAGCAAAAAGTGTAGAGAGGGAAACAGACAAGGGGAGGGGAGGGGAGTCTAGAGTAGAGAGTAGAAAGTGGACAACAAAGATTAGGAAGAAATCAACGAAAAACAAAACATGGTCGACTCACGAACCCGGAAAGGAATATAGAGCTGTAACGCATGGCAACGTTTTCAAAGACACCTGATTGGGTGACGGGCAAATGCAATGCTGAGTGTATCGATCTTGATGTACCGTGCCTGGGGCTGTGCTGTGCTGCACCGTGCTGAATAGCGATGTGCCATGCCGCGATTGTGCTCTATAGCGTCGTGGATCGAGTCCTCCTTTGCATCTGAGTCCTGACCGAACTGATCTGGATCTGAAGCTCGAGCTGCCTGAACACAACATAGTAGCTGCCCCGGAGCTAATTGACAGGGGAACATGCCAGGAGGACGCGCCGCGAAACGTCTCAAGGGACGCTCCAAGCGACGTGCCAGGGGACGTGCCATGGGGAAGCACCGCGGGACGTGCCAAGGGGACGCGCTACGGAACGTGCCAATGGATATGCCACGGGATGTGCCAGGGGACGCGCCACGCTGCGTGTCAGGTTGCAATGCTGAGGTGTATCGATCTTGATGTACCGTGCCGAAATCTGTGCTGTGCTGCGCCGTGCTGAATTGCGATGTGCCATGCCGCGATTGTGCTCTATAGCGTCGTGGATCGAGTCTTCCTTTGCATCCGAGTCCTGACCGAACTGATCTGGATCTGAAGCTCGAGCTGCCTGAACACATAGTAGCTGCCCCAGAGCCAATTAACAGGGGGACATGCCAGGAGGACGCGCCGCGGAACGTCTCAAGGGGCGCGCCGAGCGACGTGCCAGGGGACGTGCCATGGGGAAGCACCGCGGGACGTGCCAAGGGGACGCGCTACGGAACGTGCTGGAGACAAGCGTTTCGCTCGAGACATCCTACCAAAAACCAAGGAATTCCTGGAACAACAAGCGAATTAGTCGAAACATCATCGAAACTCCTGCGCGCGGGACGTGGCACGCGCGAGACATCCTCAGAATTCCTGCGAGCGGGACGTGAAAACAACCATTTCGCTTGAGACATCCTCCGGATTCTGGCCCCCCACGAGGCCCCCGCTCGAGACATTCCCCAATTTTGCAAAACCAGCGTTTCGCTCGAGACATCCTCAACGAATTATGAAAAACAAGCGTTTCGCTCGAGATAACCTGTTAAATTCCAAAGAAATCCTGGAACAACAAACGAATTAGTTGAGACACCTCGAAATTCCTGCGCGCGGGACGCGGCACGCACGAGACATCCTAGGAATTCCTGCGAGCGGGACGTGAAAACAAGCATTTCGCCTGACACATCCTCTGAATTCTGGCCCCTCACGAGGCTCCCGCTCGAGACATCTCCCAATTTTTGCAAAACCAGCGTTCCGCTCGAGACATCGTCAACAAATTATGAAAAACAAGCGTTTCGCTCGAGCCATCCGGTCAAAATCCAAGGACTTCGGGGAAAAACAATCAAATTAGTCAAGACATCCTCAGAATTCCTGCGAGCGGGACGCGGCACGCGCGAGACATCCTCGGAATTCCTGCGCGCGGTGCGCTTTTCCGCGTCGCGGTCGGCTCTGCAAAACCAGCGTTTCGCTCGAGATATCCTCAACAAATTCTGAAAACAAGCGTTTCGCTCCAGACATACCCAACTCTGCAAAACCAGCGAGACATCCTCAACAAATTTTGCGAAACAAGCGTTTCGCTCGAGACATCCTCCCAATGAATTCCGCCTGCCCACCTCGACCTCGAAAATTATAAAAAGATAATTCTGCTGGCCCACCTCCCGCATGGCACCCGGGACAGGTTTTCCTACAAACATGATCGACCCACGAACCCAGAAAGGAATATAGAAATGTAACGCATGGCAACGTTTTCAAAGACACCTGATTGGGTGACG